AGTCCCCGATGGTAAGAAGTAGCCAACCACTGTGCAATCCAGTTCATCGTACACGCCGCTACGTACGACCCAGTCCTCCTTCTCGTGTACCATAGTTTGCCGGCGAGATTTGTTCTTGATGATGGTGAGAGGGGGAGCAAGCATGGAGACAGACGAGAGGCTTACGACGAAGTCCCAACGGAACTCGACCAGGCTAGGTGGCCTCGACATGACAGCCCCAATGGGAGCTAGCATGGGTTAGTAATCCTACGTAAGGAAATCAGTGGGAACTAGATGAGATCAATTGGGTGATTATCATGTTCTCTAACTATCAATATTTTGGACCACATTTTACGAGGGAGCGAGGATTGGTCAAGGCATGGGAATTTGTGGCGTCCACACCACGAATAGCCTCATTCAGTCGACTCATTCATCTCGGGAGATGGGTGATCAACGTAAAGTGGGGTACTTCGTCTATAAGGTGAGTGTAAAGGGAGTAAATTCTACGCCTACGATATTTACGTTTTTGAGATTTGACTGCTATGTGCCGTACTTGCCTTTGTATGCTTATATGATGTCATATGATTTGTGTGAGTTATGCTTTCAGTTTTATGTTGTTGTGTGCTTTACTTACAAGTAAGTTTAAGTTTAAGAAACAAGTTTATTTTAAGAAGTTCTTCACCTTCAATAAGGTGAAATAGTTTTAAGTGTTTTTAGTCACTAGCGCCAGTCCGTTGCCATTTGAGATGTTGAGATAGAGCAGCAGTTATGCTCTTGAGACTTTTAAGATGAGCAGCAGTTATGCTCTTGAGATATTTTAAGATGAGAAGCAGTTATGCTCTTGAGAATCGTGGAAGAAGAGCCTTCCAATGTAAGTTTAAGTTTAAGTTTAAGAAAAGCCTGGATGGCTTCTCATACGTATGAGCTAGCAACCGGACTAGATAGTGAGGGATCCCGTGTCAGTCAAGTATTTATGTCGAGATTTGAGCTTTAAGAATGGAGAGTAACAGTAACTCCCATACAGTTTTAAGAGTTAAGCTTTTTAATAGTGGAAGTACAAAACAACTTCCACTCAGTTAAGTAAAGTGATCAAGTATTAATAAGATGTTAAACGTAAGGGCGTAGACTGACCCCATCTCACCCACAGTTTGAAGAGCTAGAGGAGGAGCTAGAGGAGCAGTTAGTGAGCAGCGAGTTCGAGGGTAGCCAGCTAGAGGAGGGCAGTATAAGCGTCATGGAGGATGCTTAGTCAAGATTTTCAGTAGCAACAACATTAGAGATTATTAGTTATTTACATTTATGATTATGAGTATAGACTGGAGATCATTTTGAGATTTTAAGTATTGAGTTTGCCCACTGTATTGGAGCAGCTTTCGAAGTGGCAATTGTGTAAAAACATATATAGAGTGACTTTGGAAGTATGGGCGTAGCTTTCTAGAGGCAACAACCACAACCAAAGTAGCCTTTTCTACTGACGAATACCTAGTCTCCGCATCTGATAGAGTTTTACAAGTATAATATATCGGATGTTCGGTATTGTCAGCATCTTGGCAAAGAAGTAGCGAGCTCACCAGTCACCGCCTTTTGGGACACGACGAAATACATAAAAAGGGTTTCATTATTCATCGAAAAGAAAGCACTAGAGGTGTCACCAGAAAGTCTTTAATCTTAGTAAAAGCCTTCTCGCACTCAGGTGTTCACTCAAAGTGTTTCCCGTCATTCTTCAAGGTGGCAAATAATGGAGCACAACGATCGTCGGCACGAGAGATAAACTGGTTGAGTGTAGCGACGCGACCTATGAGAACTTGTACTTTTTTGCCTCTGGTTGGGGAGGGCACAATCAACATAAGCTTCTAGGTTCCGACCAGGTTGACGTGAGAAGACACAATCAACTATTCGATGATAGGTGGCTCCATCATTTTTTAAGCCAAAAGGCATAGCCCTATAACAGTAATTACCAACCGATGTCATGAATGCTATTCTTTCTTCGTCTTCCTTCTTCATGGGAATCGGGTGATAACCAGAGAACATGTCGAGGAAGGAAAGAAGGCATTGCCCAAAGGTAGCATCAATCGGTCAATTTTGGGAAGAAGATATGGGTCCTTTGGGCATACCTTATTGAGGTTGGTGAAGTCTACGCACATCCTCCCCTGCCCATTGGAATTTTTCATCTTAATAACGTTGGCCAACCAAGTGGGGTAGAGGATTACTCGATGAATCCTGCATGAGCACGTTTAACTACTTCTTCTGCAACATCTTGACGTCATTCCCATGCAAAGTTCCTTCTCTTCTATTGTACAGGACGACACCCTGGGAGAATACCTAGGGCATACTCAACTAGCCGACAATCAAGTCCAGACATGTCTTCAGGACCTTCGGCGAGTAGCTCTTTAAACTCTCAGACTAAGTTGAGAAGCTGAAGAAGTACTTCTTTAGGCCAAGCGGTTGAGATACGAATGGTTAGGCCGTCTTGAACAGCTTGTTCCTCATCAAGGTTGACATGCACATGGCGAGCTACCTCTTCTCAAGTGTCAATAGTAGTGACATGTTTATCTTTAAGGGAATGCACAACATTGCTTGGCAATTGCTTGATCCCCTCGAACACAGCCTACCCCAGGTGGAGTAGGGAACTTTAATTTGAGATGAAGTGTAGCAGGGATGGTGTGAGCTTGGTGTAGAAAGTGGATTCCCCATTGTATGTAGAGGAACATACCACCACATGAAAGTTAACCACTTCTCGACTGTTTGGTCGCCATAGCCGATGCGAACATGAAAGGGTAGAATTCCAGATAATAAAGCAGGTCGACTGAGCTCCCTCGGTCAATGAGAACTCATTTTACGGTGTAGTTGGAGATGGTACCCTCAATCACCAGAGGGTCATCATGGGGATATTCGATATCCTCGAGATCTTAGAAATAAAAAATGATAGGATTCTGATATGAGATAGTAGAGGTGGAGCCAACCAAAGTTTGAGCATAGGTCTTACGAGAGGTGATACATTCCTGCAGCAATCCAGCTCCTCCATGTATGACTGGTACAACACCTAACACCAGTCTGCTTTCTTGTGGAGCTTTTCCTTTGCCCGATGATGAAGGTGGTTGGACTGAGCCTTTAGAGTTTTTGATGAATTGTTCAAGTTGTCCATTTTTAATGAGTCCCTCGATGGAGTCTCCCAACCTTTTGCATTCCTCGGTGTCATACCCATATCCCGGATGAAATTCACCAAAACTGGTTCTTCCCTTTTCTTGGTTTTGTGCGACCTCGAGGAGGCCACGTTACCAGAAGATTTTTATCTTGAATGACTTGGAGAATAGTCCTCCGTGGATTGTTGAGCAGGGTAAAATTTTGTCTTGAATGGAATGACCCATGCTTTCTGCGGTCATCTTTTTGAGCCTTGGGCATGTTATCCAAAATTGGGCGGGGGCATTGTGAAAGTTCACGGCTCGGCGGAGGTGAATCCCTCTTGCGTTTTGGCACAACATAGGAGGAATCTTGTAGAGATTCTTCTAGACCGATGTACTTCATGACCCACTCTTGTAGCTCAAACATACTGCAAGGAGGTTTCTTAATGAGGAAAGCTTGAAGAAGACTATTTGTTGTTCCTCTTGTGAGCGTGTTGACAATTACTTCAAAAGAGATGAAAGTGAAGCATGTAGCCAAGGTGCTATACCTAGTATAGTAGGCTTTTAAAGCCTCACCCTCTCGTTGCTTGGTATTCATTAGTTGATTAATGCTTACTGCTTGTGGCTCTTGGGCGTAAAACTTGCACCGACATAGTATAGAAAATTCGGTGAAGTTGTTGATGATACCACAACGAAGCTGAGAGTACCATCGACGAGCGTCTCCTCCAAGAGTGTCAAGAAAAATTTTACACATGGTAGCATCAGAAGTACCAATAAGCGGCATCAAAATCTCAAAGGAGCTGAGATGGTCTTCTGAGTCGGTGGTGCCATTGTACTCCGGAAGGTAGGGTATATGGATGTTTCCCGGGTATGGCTCATTTAGAATGGCCAAAGCTAGGGGATACTCGGTTGTGAAAACGTCCCCGCGGGAGGAAGTTCTTCTAGGTGGGGAAAAATTGGAGGGACAACCCAAGTTGCTGCTTTAGTTGAAGCCGGTGCGCCATTTTGATGGTCATTGAAGGACCCGGGAAGTTCTGCTTTCCCGTACGGATTTGTTAGAGGGATTGGTGGTGGTTGGGGAGCCTCTGTTGCGGACCGAAGTTGGGCACAAAGTCGCTCAATTTTGGCTTGGAGGTCTGAATCCTTTGGGGCGGCAGAGTTTGCACGAGGTTTGGAGTTGAGCTTTGACCGATCTCGACTTGAGGTTGTGAATCCTGTGTGTCCATCTTGTTTGGTTGAAATGGCAATTTGTTGGTATTAATCTCACCGGGCCCCACGGTGGGCGCGCATTGTTTATGCCAAGCTAAAATAGCTGACTTTGAATGTTGTAGAGTTCGGAGAGTGTTGACTTGTTGATTGTAGTTGGATTCCAGCTTTCAAGATGAACACATGCAAAAAAGGACCCGCCGGTTGTGGTCGGTTGGGACCTTCTCCAAAGCTCAAGTCAGAACTTGAAAATAACCGATAGCGACGTATTGAGCAGGCTCTAGAGAGAAAAAGAAAGAAATCTCGGGGTTGAAAGTTGTCAATTTGCCGAGAAAAAGTTCGTCAAGAATTCCTCTTTCCCGATCTGGTTCAGAGAAAGTGAGTTTTCTAGATTTGAGATGGATCGCTGAGAAAACATGAATGAACAACCTATTTGTAGGTGCATCCTACTCTTGACGGGTTGGCGTGTCCTTTACGAATTGTGAATAAAGCATGAAATAATAGCTGAATTAATTAAACGTTAAGAGACTTACCTTGAGTAGATGTAGATACACATACTAACACTGTCATTGTATAACCACACCCGTGTTCACCTAACTAGCTTCCACGTATGCCAATATGGGTTGTGCATGGGATGATTAATGGAAAGTTCAGCTTGGATTAGGGAAAGATTACATGGCAGTGGATCATTTTTCAGTCATTCATTGAATGATAAATTACTACAAGCGACGGAGATACGCGATTTAAATAACGGAAAATACAATATTTAAAAATTGTATCTATAATGACTGGAAAGGTGGAAACAAGTTCCGATATAATTTGATCGTTATGAGCAAACCCAAAGTACAAAATGACACATTTACTACACGTGTTATAGCTTTGTTTAATTAGAGTCTCTGGTTTGTGGGGAAAGATTATGCAATGTCCATATATATTTATTTACCCTTCCAGCCTCCAGGCCTTTCTTATTCTTTCATACGTGGGAGAATATAATCAATTGAAGAGTTTGCTTGTGATGAGTAGGAGACAAAGCTTATGACTAAGCTTAGTTCACATACACATGTAACAAAACAACCATGTTCATTATTGGGTTTAGACTTTCCAACCACTTAAGCAAGCGAAGAAACATATTTAGCTTTTGACGTGTCAATTGGGTGGAAATATGAAGGATCATCATGCAGTGAGAAGTGGGGGTAATAACTTGCCTCATTGCCCTTTCTTCTTCCATATAGCTTAAATAGGGTTATAGGTTTGATTATATGTGATAAAAAGATGGTTTGATTATTTACCATATTGTGTCCCTCTCTTACACGTGGATTGGATGGAGATGAAGCTTACTGCATAGTTGTGTGGGAGAGGGGAGTTGTAAGGGTTTATCAGGTATAAGGCGGGTCCTTCCCTAAAGCCATGTCCCAAGCTTCGAAAACAGAGGGACATGCAAGGTAATCCTTGAGAAGCAATTCTCTACGATGTAGTCAAATGTGTTCATGAAATCGATATTTGAGATGAAATATTCTGGATCCACACCAAACCCAACTCGACAAATTCTTCTAAATCCTGATTTAAAAAAACCCTTGTGACTGGCAATTTCGCGTTGGATGGTCTAGATCTGGCCGCATTGAAGATGTCGTTGTCGAGAAGGTCATGAAGGATGTCTTTCAAGCGAGAGCCCTTGATGTAGATGGAGAAGTTTGGGGCGGTGAGCAAGCTTTGAAGTCCACCCTCTGAACCCCGACCTGTGACCTCGTATAAAAATCGCAGCGGAAGAAGGCGGTCGGGCTCCACTATGCATTGTCTCCGAAGTTTTCTTTGCATGGGCAAATGACGCTGCATAAGCAATCGAGTCCAGGAATTTCATGTTCTCCACCGACGTAGGTTATGGTACTTCCACGGTCGTCATTGTGGGGGTGAAGTTCTTGAAGGAATTCGAGGGAAGAGGGGAATAAAGGAAGGAACTAGAGAAGAAGGCGGAAAGGTCGGGGTGGACGGTGGAGTCCGCCCACGAGAAACGTATAGGGGAAGGCGATGGACGACAGTCGTAGGGTGAAGGTGAGGAGGTGTGATTTGTACCCTTTTATAGCTCTAAAAGATTAATGAAAATTTCAATTTATTTTTTTATTTCTAATAATTATTCAAATATCATATATATAATAAATTAATTGTATTTAATTTTGTATTTTTTGTTGTATCATGTATAATGTGTACTAACGGTCGATGGTGTTGACATTCGAACTTAACGATCAATTGCTCGAGCGAGATCAAATTAAATTTTATGGATATTAGTTTTGAGTATATGAACTTAGGGTCATTGCTTGCAAGGGTATTTAGTGGTCGTTTGGAAGTTGCGATTGTTTTTGTTGAGATTGTCATTATGCATGTATTGTTTACAATGCATCATTTTTTTGTTTTTTTAGCAGAAACAATACATGGATTGTTTTTGTGATGTGACATAAATGAGTGATTGTTATATCTCAACTTTTAGTTGTGATTGATGAGATAGTTGAGTTGAGATTGTTTTGTCTCAGCTTTTAGCTGATGTGACATACACAATCACACATACCAAACGTTGTATTCTACAATGCATCAAATTCGACAATACATGTATAATATTATACATGCATTCTCAACAATATATCTATTTAACAATCGCAACTTCCAAACGACACCTTATTAACAAAAAATAATGGCGGATTGATACTGTACGTAGTCTTCTACGTGTCTGCCCCAATGGCACAGCGCCACCTGTTCAAAGCATTCCCAACGCCAACAAAAAAAAAAGGAAGAAATTTTAAACACAATCTCAGAAAAGTCTCAGTTTTTGAGTTTTCTTCATTGCCTTTCCCCACGCGCCCCCAGTTCCAAAACCTCCCCGATTCGCCATTGTTGCTCTGGAACCGGAGAATTCCCACCAAGATTGAATCATTTCTTTCGGGTCAGGTCGGACACAGATTGGCGCAGCAGTGGAAGGCCGAAATTTCTCCGCCATGGATGCTCCCGCCGGATATCTCGTGATCCTTACAATTCTAGGGATTCTGGCATCCGCATCGGAGTCGCTCCGCTTCGACATTCAATCCTCTCACACCAAGTGCATAGCCGAGGACATCAAGAGCAATTCCATGACCGTGGGCAAGTATAGCGTCGTTAACCCTAACGAAGGCCAGGCCTTGCCTGATTCCCACAAGCTCACCGTCAGGGTAAAGTTGGGAGACAGAGAAAGAGAGCAGTATTGGGGGCGTTTTCTTTTTCCGAGTTTAATGGTTTGGAGTTGTGGGTTCTGTGTTTCTCACTGTTTAGGTGACTTCGAGCTACGGGAACAGTTATCACACGGCGGACCATGTGGAATCAGGGCAGTTTGCGTTCACCGCTGCTGAGACTGGGGATTACATGGCGTGCTTTTATGCGGCGGATCACAATCCTCCGATCACTTTGACTGTGGATTTCGAGTGGAGGACTGGTGTAGCTGCTAAGGACTGGAGTAGCATTGCAAAGAAAGGATCCGTGGAGGTATTGTTTTTCAAGTTCTTCACTTGCATCTAAAATCTTGAGCTTGTTTCTGAACGGCAGCCTATATTCCGATTTCGTCAATCTTAATGGTAGGGTTGCAATCGATATAGAGTGAATTGGCATTGAGAGTTTTAGATAGTTGGATCTTTAACTGACGAGTGAAAGAAAATTTTCCTGTATTGTTCCCGTCAGACGGCAGGCTGGCCTCACTTGTCACTTGAGCCTTGCTTGAGGACAACTGAATTGCTGGTGCTTTTGAGTTTAGTTTGGTAGAACTCTATTGACATGACGATATTGATGGTCCCGGTGGTGTATACTGTATAGAGCTCATCAAACGCTTTGAGCAGATTACCCCATACTCCTTGCTATATCGCTGCTATATGAATTAGAGAACTAACTATGTGAGACATTAGTCTTTGAGTTAAGTACAGTCGTTGCACGATCTTGAATTTCAGATTTTTGAGTTGTTCGGCTCGCATTTGTATGAGCAACTCACACCCGTGCCTAAGATAGAATCCAATTCAACCTTTTGCTTATTGATAACAGATGACACTGAAAGCTCTGAAGTGTTTGTTATCTGCTACATGGAGTAGACATTTGCTTTGAGCTTAGGTTACAAAGTAGAATAGAAAAAAATATGTCCTTTTCCCTATGGGAGATTATGAACTACGTGGGATAGATATTGGCTTTAGAGTGACATAACATATCCATCAATGTTGGTCAACAAGACTTGACTGTCACCAATAGTATCTGATAATAATATAAGGTTGCAATATTTTGAAGTTAAGGATGAATTTGCTGGATTCCCATATAGTGATAGGATGACAGTATTCTTTCTTCATGTCGCTAATAATTGCTTGGATAATTGTCCAGTGGTTGTCCTTATCATGTGCATGTGACAGATGACTTAAGTGCTTACAGTTAAATGCTTCGTTCTTCTGCTACTATCATAATTATTTGATCATTGAACTAGGTTCTGGAGCTAATTACAGCTGTGTATTGAGCTCAAAGATTGGTCCTGCCTTTTCGAAATGGATTATTAGCTTTACAATTTTTTATCTTTGCATTACTTTTATTCAGGCAATGGAACTGGAGGTGAAGAAATTGTATGACACTACTATAGCCATACAAGACGAAATATTGTATCTTCGTCAGAGGTAACAACCCTTCTCCCTTACTCTTCTTAACTAGAGGTTGCACAAGGAGGGGCTTTTGATAATAAGATGTTGTTTTGGGTTATTGTTGCTGTTGCAGGGAACAAGAGATGCAAGAACTGAACAGATCGACCAATTCGACCATGGGGTGGCTAGGCATTCTCTCCTTGCTGATGTCTTTATCGGTTGCCGGCTTCCAGTTCTGGCACCTCAAGACATTTTTCGAGAAGAAGAAGATCATTTAAGTTCTCTCTAACTCTTTTTGCTTTCTTTCTTTCTGGCCAAGGTAGACATCCTCTATTTTCCCCCCTCCTTTCTTCAGGTTCCCTTTTCCTTAAACTGTATAATGTTACACAAGTGTTGTAGTACTCGGGAATAATTTCAAAAGTTCATCCTTAGTAGAATCAGCAAATTTTTAGATGTCACAGCAGTACACCTTTTCTTCGTTCCCTTTCCTGAATTCTTAGCCATTGCCCTTGGTATGAACAAAGATAAAGAATTGTGCATCGAAGACTATACCGTACTTGTTGAGTATAGAAGGGGCTCTTTTGCCGGAATCCATCCAGAATCCCGGATGAAGCATTTTGACAAAATCTAACAGCAGATTGATAAGAGGCAAATCTACCACTGAATCTTTACATAATGGATTGAGAACTCAAAATGAGTCTTTTTGTACACTTGAACAGTATACAGTACAGAAAGTCACCAATCCAACGTGGTGCTGCTTGAGCACCTAAGAATTTCTCACAACACAAAAGTCCAGGGAAAAAGGGCGCATACAAAACTGCGAAAATCGCTATTCAAGATGATCTACTCAAGCACAGCTATAACTTTGAGAGGAAAAATATACGTTTTGCAGAGTTTCATCCAAATAGAAGAGATTTCCCCCTCTTCTTCTGTATGAGCTGCTGGCAGATCCAAAAATTGGCTAGCCCATGGAACAAATGCTTTTCCACACTATTGACATCCAGTATTTGCAGGGTTGGAACAATCATGGTGTACCAGGAAAATAAATCCTAGCGACGAAGCAAGCAACGCTGTTGGGCATAAGACGTTTTGCTTGACTAATTCTCACTTTGGTCATGAATTGAATATGTGCCAGTGATGATCTGATGGCAAAACTTCCTTAATCTTCTCCAGCCTCTTGAGGATTTCCAAGAACGAAGGCCTTTTGTTCATGTCAGCTGCCCAGCACTGGTCTGTCAAACTGCAAGACACAATCAATCGTCAAAAAGGAATAACTCCTCAACATAGGTACCATGGACAATGGGTCATTCACTTACTCTCGGAGCTCAGGGATAAACCCTTTAGCACGGAACGATGGCCTGTGCCCTTCGGCCACGTACTTGGCTGCTTCGTATGGCTCATAACCTGCAAGTGGTGGCTCCCCTTCCAGCATCTGTCGTCAATAATCAAACATATGCAATGAATCAACACAACTGGGTTTGCCGGCACACAACTTTTGCATCTTTGTAGGAATTGGAGTTTTACCTCATAGAGTATCATTGCAAAGGAGAAGACATCAACCTTCTTATCATATTTCCGGTGCTTGAAAACTTCTGGAGCCATGTACCGATCTATAGTTTTTTTATGGTCATGATAAATTAGTTGAAAATATAATTGTCGTAGGGCCTGACAACAATAAGCAATAAAAGACACTCACAGCTTCCTGTCTCGCCAGTCATTTTGTATACATCATGCGAGTTCTGAACCTTGATGAGCTTGCTTAATCCGAAATCTCCAACTTTCAAGTGGTCTGCACTGGAGTTGACCAAAAGAACATTCCTGCAATTTATTCACGGTCAAAATTAGTAAGTAGGCATATTTTGCCAGAAATAAATGAAAAATCTGAATATCTAATCCTGCTGAATTTAGGACACAAACTAAAGCACCTTGGTTTTAGGTCTCTGTGAACAATGACATTCGGCTCATTGTGCAGATAGGCCATGCCTCTGTCGTGCAGCATTTACAACATAGATTAGGACTGAATCTGCTAAGGCAGAAGTCACATGAGTAGAAAGAACCCTATAAATTTGGATATTATAGCTTTCAAGATGCATTAGTTTAATGGCTTTTCATTTTCGAAAACAGTAAATACAGAGAGTGCTATTTTAGCTGAAATGATGGAGAATGCGTTCCAGCAAAATTTCAACTAGAAAAATTGCCAGAAATGTTTTGGAAACATAGTTATACATCTCAAAGTCGAAACAAAGGAAACACACATATTAACCCATTAATTATAGACGATGCAAGAGGCAGTGAAATACCTCGCAATGTCCAATGCGAAGTTAATTGCTGTTGAAGGACTAAGGGCACCCTTTTCCTTGAGATACTGATGAAGATCACCCTATAAAAGTAGGAATCAATACAAATATGGTCAGGCAACAATGATCAAGGAAGTTAACTTTTCAGATAACAGTTGATGGTTGTTTCAAAGAGGCCGCAAAAGTATTGAAGAAAGGAATATACAGCCACATACCCCTCTCAGGTACTCTGTAATTAACATGAGGGGCTTCTTCTCGGTGACAGCCCCAAGAAATTGGACTATGTTTGGGTGACGAAGCTTCACCAGCAAATTAACTTCATGTCTGAAGTCCTGACTATGTAGAACAAGTGAAGATAGTAAGCATTAGGAAATTGGCAGATAGGAGAAAAGCAACCAAATTCCAGATATAGCAATTTTGGTACATTATCATACCATTTACTTGACTCTGCCAAGTAATTTGGAAGCAGGCATTATATTCTTTACATTCAAAGAGCGTTAGTTCAATCTTAAATCTGGTTCTGGCAAATCATCTGTATCATTCAGTTTGCCGATAATTAAAAGAAGCAATCAAGAAAGAGGGTGCAGGACTGACTGTAAATGCTCAGAGATAAAAACCATCATAGTTCACACTATAACTGACCATAACATAGACCAATCAAGAAACAAAAACAAAGAACAATCATCAATTACAAACTTACATCACTAGTCTATCGTCTGAAAGAGATGGAAGGATACGTTTCACAGCTACCGGTGTGCCACGCCAATATGCTTTCAAAATCTCACCAAATGATCCCTGCCATTGCAAGGAATGTTAGCAAATGCAAGCACATACTATTGCTAGACAACTAACAAGAAAAAAACGTTGGTACTATGACTAGAGCACAAAACAACAGCACAAAAACAAACCTTCCCAATCATAGAAGAGTTGGAGAAGTCCAGCTCAGACGGGTCGATTTCCCAATCACACTTGTTCGGTAGCGGTGGTGGAACAGGTCTCGGTTCAAAGTGGCTACCATTTTGTCCCTGCAGTAAGGGTAAATCGAAACTTGAGACTCGATAACTAGTACTTGCATTGTGGCCTTTACCAACTGCATAGAAGCAAACTAACATAACATTTGCCAACAACCAACACACTTGAGAAAAGAAACTGCGAATGGAACTTCGGATTTCTGTTTACATGCGTCAATTACTTGCATAAAATTAGAGCAGTAGCTCTCACTGTAAATTGTCACAGCAGCACTCAGTATAGAAAGTTCAGAACCGAGTCACAATAGAAAAATTGGAAGTTACAGAGAGCGGACTCACATAGGATAAACCACCATACGACTTCAAAAGCTCAATCATGTTATGTTTTTTAGCTCCTTCTGCGTCAGCTAAGGGCTGCCACCACAAACAGCAAGAAAATTGAATTGGAAATCGCACGCAGAAACAGAATCAAAGGAGGGGGAAGAAGAACAAAGAAGTAGAAGAGAATTACCGTGTTCTTCCAGCGATCCTGGGCGTTGACATCGGCGCCGAACTCAATCAAGCACTTGGCGACATCGATCCATCCATGGAGAGAGGCGACGTGAAGCGGAGTCCGATTGTCGTAATCCCTAGCCTTGACGAGGGACGGATCTTCCTCCAGGAGCTTCCGGACGGCGGCGACGTCGTTCTGGTGAGCGTGCCACAGTATCATGGACGTCCGGCTCACTCTGGCCTTCTCCTTCTGCTTGTCGGCCGATTCGGCCGGCGAAGCGCCGGCGGCTGAGGAAGAACCGGAGCTCATCGGAGGGGTGGGGAGAGAGAGACGAAAATTAGATCGGATCGGAACGGGGAAAGGGGAGGAATGGGTGGAGAGAATATTCGATAATTCCGCTGCCTGCTTGTTTTCGACGTCTGTGTAGCTTTGGTTTGCTTTGGGAGTGTGTGGGAGTTCAGGTGTAAAAGGTTTATGCGGAGGATTTTCTGTTTGGTTTCTGAGAAAATGGAGTGGGAAAATTGGGATGAAGAGGAGTGGGTAGGGGTGTGCAACGGTTCGGTTCGGTCTGGACCGGACCAAAATCATGAGAACCGCGGTCCATTAGTGAAAGACATGTTAGGACCAAGGACCGGACCATTCTTGCATTTGGTCCATTTGGTCCGGTTCGGTCCGGTCCAAATATGAGCTCGGTCCACCATTTCTTCAGTAATTATAAAATTCATTAGGACCAAGGACCGGACCGCATTTTACTCGGTCTGGTCCGGTCCGGTCTTAACAACGGTTTGGTCCGGTGTGGTCCGGTACGGACCGGACCATTGCACACCCCTAGGAGTGGGAAACAACGAATAACCGACGAAAAGTGGCGGTCAGTAATTCCGTTTGTTTCCTTTATCTTTTCTTGTTTTACTTTCTTAACAAACACGATAAGGTTGTAAAACCCGTTTATACCTCGGTCTGGCAAGTGGAATAATACGACTAGTGGTAAAAATCAATTTGTAGCATTTCATATCGGTTTAACAAAATATGAAACTCATTAACTTATAATAAATTTAATCATGTATAAAACATATTTAAAGATCATTTACTTTCAATTCAACAAATAAAATCAATTTTTGACTTATTGATTCATAAAATAAATACTAAATTTATTTTTTATTACTTAAATTCACTAAAATGACATTATTTTTCTTAGAATTTATAAATAATCATGCCCATCGTATTGATAGTGTTCACGCCGGTTTCATAACCGGCACTAGTTAAATCTGGTTCAACCGACCGGCATACCACCGACATGGCAAGTCAAGGCCACCTCTCTTGGGTAGGGAATTTAACAATGCTTCCACCAATACTTTGGAGAATAGTAGATGTACTTGAATATGTTTTTGTTTTGGGAGTATGATATTTTGATGGCTCGTAGGGGCAGGTTTGACAGGGGGTACGAGGCGAGGGCAGAGCGGCAAGAGTGTAGGTGTGCTGTTGAGCGCGGCGAGGGGCGGGGGTTTGTATCCGGTAGTGTGTTCCTTTGATGATGGAACCTGTGCAAGCTCGCATTCGGCTGGGGGCATGGTGTTTAGAGATGTCAGGGGAGCGGTGGTTAGAGTCCATGGATGGTGTTTGATGGGATTGTGGAGTTGGCGATTGCAAAACTACTAGTATTAATGGAGGTTGTTCAGATGTGTGTTGAATCGGGTTTGTCTCGGGTAAAAATTTCAGGTGATGCCAAGGTCGTTATAGAAAAGGTTCAGGTGGGGATAACCTAGGATTGTTGTGGTGTGGCGATCTATAAGAATATCCGCAAGCTGGTGGTTCAATGTTCGGATGTGGAGTTTTGGTTTGTTGGCAGAAATAACAATAGTGTAGCTCATAATGTGGCTAGAAATGTCTTTTCTTTATTTTCTGTATGATATGTTGAGTTTGATTTTGGTGCTTGGCTCTCTGCGGAGATCGACATTGAGTTAGTTAAAATAGTTATAAGATACACACTTCTAAATGACCTTGATTTTAAATTTTTAATTCCGACGAAGGATAAAGTATAGGAGACAATGGAATTGCATTAGAATGAATCCCCTATACCTTTATTTATAGTGACACGAATACACTTGATTTCATTCATAAATTTAAATCTTTAGATTCTAAACATTTCAAAATTTCTTGTTTATAGATTATTGAATTTTTGAAAAAATATTCTTTATTTCATATGGTTTTAAAAAATTAATTATTTGATAAATATGATTGTTAACATTCAATAAAAATAATAAATTCTAATTATTTATTAAAAGAAATATTTATAATTAAATAAAAGAATAAGAGTGGCTAAAAAAATATTAAAAAAATATTCCTAATGATATTTGGTGGTATATATAAAAAGAAATGAAAAAGAAAGAAAAAGATAAGAAATAAAAATATAAAATCTCTCCCTTTATGAGATTTTTTTATTACCCAGGAATCTTAGCCCCACGTGTCACTTTGTGACAGCGGGTCCTACTAAATCTGGGGGCCACCTATAATCAAATTCGACGCTAACGGGCTTCGCCCCTAGTAGGCTTGTACCTCCGAGAACACCAACAGGTCGCTTAAATTCGAACCTAGGATCTGAAACTTCTAAGCAGTCACTGTCGCGGCAGCTTTACCGTTAGGCTATCTTACCTTTGGTCCCTTTATGGGATATTTGATATCTCTAGATTGAATATTTGAAATATACGAAAATAAAATTCATAATACAAAAAGTAAAAAAAGAAAACCCAAGAACTTCTACTAAATCCATAAATTCAATTCATGGTCTAAATCATTTTCTCCAAATCACCTCTTAATTCGTCTAATACAAATATTAGTTCATGCTAGCATACTAAAATTATTTATGCGCGAAGAAATCGAGTCTTTCATCCACTTTGGTGAATCGAAATAAAACTCCATAAAGTTTGTATTCCTATAATTGTTTCAAATGTTTGAATTTTGAAGGAGAATATGAACTATGAATATAAATATAGTAAACATGTGCTTTAACTTTTGATTGGCTAAGTTTAGTCTCTTGATTGACTAAATGTTAACGTAATTTGTGACATAGCTAGTAGGCTGGCCTTGAATCAACACCTTTGCAACAGGTTTGGCTGTGGAAGGTTCGTGCTCTGTTATTTGTATGTGAGATGGTGTGGTATGTATTGACTCATATTTAGTGGGAAAAGCGGATTCTAAAAGATGAAGGAGTATGTTATCTTAGTTAGATGGTTTTTTATTTTATTTTTTTAAATATGGTTGACTTCTTGTGGTTGAGACTGTAGTCCTCCGCGAGGCTATTCAGTGGTGTCAGAACCTAGGACTTGCTCATGTTCAATTTGAAGGCGATGCTAAGGTGCTCATTAATAAGATTAATTCCAAAAATGCACGAGATAGCCGTGTTGGGATATTATTGAGAAAATTCTTCGCATGTTGGTTCTGAATAGTGATTTTTATTGGTTCTGAATAGTGGTTTTTATGTTCGATTTGTAGGTCGGATTAACAATAGAGTAGCCAATCTTGTGACTCGGAATACTCTTTCTTTGCCACCGACCTCGTGTCTAGGGATGACAACAAAACACGAACCCACGGGTACCCACCCGACCCAACCCGGTCAACGCGGGTAAAACCCATGTTAACCGGGTTTGGGTTTAAACCCGCTACACTATTCACTAGGTCGGGTTGAGTTTGGGTTTAGGTAAACCCGCCCCATGGGTACCCGCCCACACACATATAATTACTTTCCCGGTATATTTAATATTTTAAATAATATATCTTCCTTAAACAACTAATATTCTTTATGTTTGTGGAGACATGTATAATTTGTTCTTTCTAATTGTTTAGAATGAAGTTGATATTATGAAGTGGAGAGTGAAGAAACTTAGTTGACGAGGAAGAAGCTTTCAATTAATCTTATTGTTTATAGATGTTTATCTTTAATTTTGAATAATTTGTATTGATCATTTGCAATTTGCTTGTATGCTCTAGATTGGTATTTTTTGTATGAATAATTTGTATGAGAAAATTGATGTTAAACTTTTATTTTGAAAGAAACTTGTTATTGTAAATTTTTTACTACAAAAACCCACGGGTACCCATGAACCCGCGGATACCCAGCGGGTTGGGTTTGAGTTTTTCAAACCCAATGGGTTTTACCCTGGTTTTTTTTTTGTCGGATAAACCCATGAGTTTGGGTTTGACAAAACCCGCCCCAACCCGACCCATTGCCATCCCTACTCGTGTTGTTTATTTGATTTTTATTCCTGATTTGATTCCAGGGTGTAATTCATTCTCTGATCTAAGTACCCATATATCCAGGAAATTTAGGGATGGAGGAGTGATCCACAAAATCTTCCTATTCTCTTTGAATTGGGGACGAGAGGCAAAGAAGATGAAACACCAAAGCATAAGACAGCAGAATTTTACCTGTAAAAGTAACTTGTTGGGAGGGTCAAGTCAAATTTTTTGGCCCCCTTTAATCTTCCTTTCGTATTCACAAACACATTACTACGCCATTGACCATTGAGTTAGACCTGGGCATGGCTAAGCTAGTATTGCTTCCCAGATCTCAATATGTACAGGACAAGTATATATGCTAAATCTATTGTTCTTCTATCAACCACCCTTACAACTTGCAGAGCAAGGTTTCCAGAGGGTTACTTCATGCTGCATCTTCTTCTTGGTCTTCAAGGGACCGCTTTCGAGCCTTCAGGTTCAGCTCCAGGCTTTGGGGCATAGGTGGTGTCGTCCCCCTCCTGAACAGAACAGCAAGACCCCTCATTTTACGGCATAGATCAAACACCTGTAAGAAGAGATTAGAGGGACAAGAAAGTGTTGGGAGGTTCAGCATTAGAATGAACATTCATTTAGAGGAAGGATAGATAAGGAAACAAGTTGTTCGATGACAGCTGAAACGAAACTTACGGAGGAGGCTTCGATTTCTGCTACACCTTCACATCCTTTCCCTCCTCCTTGCAGCAAGTCGCAGTACCTTGCAGCTTCATTCTCGTCTTCAAACACCTGCCAATAAAATTTATTTGCAGCATCCAGAGATCAGGAACCCTGGTCCAATTCACAAGGGAAATAAATAATGCTGCTAAAGGTGTGAAATGTGTGACCCCGAAGAGTTCAAACAAGAAGGTGGGTAGGGTTCAATGGAATTGGGAAGTAGAACTCAAAGAAGCAATTTTCGAGTTCAGGCTTTGGTTCCTCTTTCCAGAAAACACAGTGAACAGGAAATGTAGTGATCTCCATATGAGACCGAACGGATTAAACTTGCACCGGGAAAACAAGCAGGCATTGCAGTTCATGGGAACAGGGAATCAACACTAGCAAAAATCCCCTGCACCCTGATAGCCATTCAATGACTGCGAAGATAAATAAGCCCGTATCTAACATGGATCAAACAGTCACTTACAAGAACTCCTTCCCTGACATCCTCAACAAGCATCTGGAACTTCGTCCCAGGTCTCGACTTCTTCGCCTGGTTCCCCATATCAGGCCTCCGCTTCCCTTTAGAAAACAACATCCCTAGCTCCCTCTCCACTTCACTGTTTCAGAAGACACAAAATTAGATAACTTCAGAATAATTGACGGTATATACCCATGCAAGCAAAAGCCACCAAACAGAAATCAAAGCAGCAGCAGCAGGCTTGCCTGACGTTTCTTCGAGTTTTCATTGTGCACAACTGGTTATCTCTGTGGGTTAGTACATAGACTGGCTTCGAGGGGTCTCTCCATGGGTTAGACTCCAGGACTGCAGAAACCACACATAACAACAACCAGAAGGGTCATCAATTGCAAAACGCTAACGCAGTAACGCAGATACATCGCAATTCTAATTTGCAAATTCGCGAAGCTACGGCAAGCGGAACTGAATTAAGTGAAGGAGAAGCAATCGAAAGTTACCGTCGTAGCTGCTGCTGTCGAAAGTCTGCTGAAGATGCCTCCGCATGTCATAGGCGCGAGAGGAAACCTGCTTCACGAACTCGTCGGAGGTCCCCGGGATAGTCCCGTCCAAATGAAGCGCCCTCTCTAATTCTTCCTGGTCATCATCACCTTCACCGCCTCCAGATCCCGCCCGCTTGTCTTCTCCGCCTCCTCCGCTGCCGGCGTTCGCTCTAAAGGAGAATCGCCTTCCTCGCCGCCGAAACGAATTCGGATCGGCGAAGGAGGAAGCGACGCGAGGGAGGAGGAGATTCAGGTACCGTTGGTGATTGTGGGAGGAGGAAGAACAAGGGAAAGTGGCGCTACGACGCTGGAGGGAGAGGAGGTTGTTCGGAGGGAGGACCATGGATGGAGAGATCGATGCGAGGGGATCCATGAATTCGGAAGATTTTGCTGTGTTCCTCTGGAAACTTCGATCTGTTCAGCTCTCCTTCAGAAAGAAATTCACTGCTTCACCTCGTTAATGGAGTTTCAAGGTGGAGTTCGTCGATCACGAGAGAGAAGTTTTGGGCGTGGACGGAAAGAAGTAGGAAACGGAAGACTCTGAAACTCTGGGACGGGTAGTTGCTTGACGGCGACGGTGGCTGCCTGCTCTCCGGAAGAAGCAAGCAAACAAAAACGAAACTGTGTAGGGAAGGAGAAAAATTCGTTTTTGATTATTTTTAGTGAATCTTATTCATTCCCTCGCTCAGTTCGCCAGAATCTACGCAAAATGTGATATTTTCCGGTTCCTGTGGGCCCCGCCGGGTTGAACTCTCCGGACTCCGGGCCTTTTCAAAATTGGGCACCCTCTTCGCCTGCGGCCCAATTTATCCTCGCAACCATTCGGATTTCGGAGATGGTGCCAGTATTATTGGGCCTACTGATTTTAAAATTAAAATGCATAATTATAATTTTCGTATCAGATTCAGATTTCAGACGAGGAAAGTGAGGAATTTTGGAAACCACAGAATCATAGGAAACAATCTTTTAGATTCCACAGATAAATGCAGAGCAAAGAGATCAGAGAGTCTCAGAGGGATTCTATACACGACATGAAATATGCAATACTAGAGTACAGATAGTACAACTTTTGCACAAACACAGAGTAATGGCTGCTAATGCGAAGCTAGTGAGAGACCTTGAAGGAGATTATGAGTATGATTGCGAACACAAGGGCGGCAATGACCGAGCCAACGATCCACTTGTTTCTGGATATTCTCCGAGACATGGATGTTATCACCTTCTTGCTCTTGTCAATGGCATCGTCCACCCCATGCAGCTGTCAGACACAAGAAAAGAAACGAGGTCAGCAAGATCACTGGAGGCTTCCGTCAATAGCAAGAAGCATATGGCGCAACACATCAGGAATCACATTATGGCAACTCAGAACGGAGCTTGATTAATGTCAACTTGACTACTTGAGGCACCAAGACAACAGGTAGCAACCAGTAGAATCAAAACGGAGTTTGTGTTCCGACGTCAAACTACTACAATACAGACATCAAGAAACTATAATGCTTCTTGACAATACAGACATCAAGAAACTATAATGCTTGGAGAAGCGCTGGGCAGCAGTGTCCAAGAGACCAAATAGGGTTTTCCTTAGACATTTAGTTTCTTACAAGCTGGGCGGAGGAGGTCAGAAAATGAATATAGCAGTTTCCTGTGTCTTCCACACTAGAATGTTAATGATCCGATTCTTCTCTTCCCTACATCCTTCGTGTTAACTACTTGGTATAGTGCAAAGATTGGATCAAACCTATACCCTAAAGCTTTTATTTCTCGCTCCCTAATTCTTACAACAAGGACTACTCACTCTGCTTGATTCAAGCAATAGAACAAAAGACAGCAACATGCTCATACCTTGTTATGTGCATGTAGCAGCGTCTGGCGCTGTTGGTGCAAATCTTCAAGAATCGTGACACCAAGTTCTTCTGTCTCCAGCACGGTTCTTCTACTGTCCTTAATTCTATCACTTGACTGATTTAGTCTGTCTATTGACATAGTCAATCTTTCTCTTTGATCTCCAGACACCTGTAGCACCATTAAACCAAGCCCATGAGCAAAACCTTGCTATCAACATGAGACACACACAGAGAATGATGGAGTTCATCTCTAGAGTGAAATAGCATCCCACATAAAAAAAACCAAGGCTAAACACCTCACGATCCTCGAGCCAATTGTGCAGTAAAATGGTTCCCATAGAATGACATCACAAGCAACAATTTAAAACCCAAATTTCATGCTAGCCTTAGCAAAAACCATTATCTCCAGCAAACTCATGCAACTAGATACTTTCCAAATTCGGCATGCAAGTTCATCTAAAGATTTCACTAATACGCCAAGAAACCCTAATTACCGCATTAGGATGGGCCAATCCAGATTCCAGCAGCTCCTCGTGTGCAGCTTGATTAGAATTCCCGGACGCAACCCGTTTGAATTCCCTCTTCAACTTAGTCAGATCGGACTTGTACTCCCTCAGCTTAGCCAGAAGCATGGCCTTGGCACTCGGCTGCAAACTTCTCGCCTCAAGATCCATCTTCCGGACCTGTTCAAGCCCATAAGATCAGAAACCAAATCCACCATAACCAGAAAGCCAAAACTTTCTATTTACACTTCTCCGTACCAAGGCATCGCACTCTTCGATTCCAGATGTTATCTCCGATAATTTTTCCCTCCTCTCCTCTGCGAACAAATTCAAGTCAAAACAAGATCGGAAAGCGGAAGAAATCAAGGAACAGCAGCAGAAACAGAAAACGGTGATCAATAGACCGATCAATTTCAAGTTGCCGGGCTACGACGTACCTCCTTCGGGGAGAACGGAAGCGGAGCTGCACTTCCGAGAGAGATTGGCGGAGAGCTCGCAGTACTGGCGCTCGTATCCTTCAAATACATCGCTCATGGTGATGGTACGGTGGTACTGGGAAGGGAGTAAAGGCGAAGGAAAGAGACGATTCTGCTCGGATTGCCTAGAGAGGGTAGTTGTTGTGGAGGTTCAGGAGATGGAGAATTGAGTGCGACTGACGAAAGCAAAAGAGAGACGGTTGGACTTTGCCGAAGAAGCAGAGATGGAGTCGGGCAGTTCTTTTACTTCGGGCAGCCTTGCCGTCAAGCGAGTTCAGAGCCTACGTTGACCAATAGCGTTAATCTGCTAACCCTTTAAGGGTTAGCAGATACTAACAGGGTTGGATTAAGGGCCACGTCGCCGAGCCACCATCGGAGGGTGAAGGGTCGCCGGCGCTGTTCTGTGAGGGGGGGAGAATTTTTGGGCCAAGCCGAGCCACTTTTGGGAAAAGTGGGGACAGAGAAAAAAAAAACCCAAATTTCAAACCCAAAACCCAACAAACCCGCTCAGCCATTCTCTCTCCCCTCTCTCCAACTTTCGAACCCTCTCCCTCTTCTTCTCCCGAAAACCGCAGAACAGCGACGAGAGAGGCGACGCCGACGAGGAAAGCGATGACGACGACGGCTGCGAGGTCAGCGACCGCTTGTTGGATCTCCCGCTGACGACGACGTTGACGCTGGACCGACGAGGAAGAAGCCGCCGCCGACGAAGAAGAAAGAAGAAGAGGGAGCCGACTTCGCCGCCGAAGAAGGCCGTCGCCGTCGCCGCCGATAGTGGGAGGTAGAAGAAGACGCTGAGGTAGTTCTACTTCTCTCTTTATTGTTCATTTTGTTTGTGGATTTGAAAATTTATGTTAGGGTTTCGGTTTCATGGAATTTTTTTTGTGGAAATCTGGGTTTTGTTTATGGATTTGATAATTTATGGTTCATGCAATTCGATTTAGGGTGTTTAGGGTTTTGATTCTAGATTTCCAGATATTGTGTTCGTGGGATTCGAAATTGGGGGTTTAGGGTTTCGTTTTGGGGGTTTAGGGATTCGTTTTTCGATTTGTAGATTTAGGGTTTCATGGATTCGAATATGGGTGTTTAGGGTTTTGTTTGCAGATTACCAGATTCTGGGTCTGTGGGATTCGAATTTTGGGGTTTAGGGTTTCATTTATCGATTTGTAGATTTTTGGTTTCATGGATTCGAATATGGGTGTTTAGGGTTTTGTTTGTAGATTACCAGATTCTGGGTCTGTGGGATTCGGATTTTGGGGCTCTGGTGTTTTTTTCTTCTAGTTACCAGATTTATTGTTTCTCGAATTCTATTTTGGGGGTTTGTTGGATACGATTTTGGGGAATGTAGGTATTGTTTGTTGATTCCTTGATTAAATGTTACATGGATATTAGTTTTGTCACTTCCGATACTTATTGTGATCATTTTATATATTGTTTCATTATGTTTTCTCGAATTCCATTTTGGGGGTTTGTTGGATACGATTTTGTTGAATCTGGGTATCATTTGTCGATTCGTTGGTTAAATGTTATATGGATATCAATTTTGTCAATTATGATACTTATTATGGGCATTTTTTATATTGTTTCAGTGAATGGGGAGACCGAAAAAGAGGGAGAAGGATCATCAAAGCAGCCACCGGATGTACAACAACAAGAGGTTTCATTTCTTACTCCGTTTCTCAATCGGTTATGTTGGCTAAAAATTACTAGTCGGATGCATTTTAATATTTTCATTGACTGATAGTTTTCTTAATATCTAACTATGTTTCAGGAACAACCCGTGAGGAAGAAATCCAAAACTGTTCCACCAAAATCTGCAGCGAAATCTCGTGAAGCAGTTGGATCATCACAGCAGCCGCCGGCTGAACAACCACCAAAGGTTTGATTTCTCACTTCGTTTCTCGATTAGTTATATTGGCTAAAAAAAATAATAAACTGATGTGTTTGATGTGTGGATATCAGTTCTGTTAATGTGGATACTTAACTGTTCGATTTAGTTTTTTTTCTGGGTATTATGGATATTTTTTCATGGATATCAGTTATTTCCGTTTGGATACACTTTTGCTTTACTACGATAATAATTGTATGTATTGGCAAAAAAAATAAACTGACGTGTCTGATGTGTGGATATCAGTTCTGTTAATGTGGATACTTAAATGTTCGTTTTAGTTTTTTTCTGGGTATTATGGATATTTTTTCATGGATATCAGTTATCTCCGTTTGGATACACTTTTGCTTTACTACGATAATAATTGTATGTATTGGAAAAAAAAAATAAACTGATGTGTCTGATGTGTGGATATCACTTCTGTTAATGTGGATACCTATCTGTTCGTTTTAGTTTTTTTTCTTGGTATTATGGATATTTTTGCATGGATATCAGTTATCTCCGTTTGGATACACTTTTGCTTTACTACGATAATAATTGTATGTATTTGCAAAAAAAATAAACTGATGTGTCTGATGTGTGGCTATCAATTCGGTTAATGTGGATACTTAAATGTTCGTTTTAGTTGTTTTTATGGGTATTATGGATATTTTTTTCATGGATATCAGTTATCTCCGTTTGGATACACTTTTGCTTTACTACGATAATTGTATTGTATATAAGTGTGCGTTTTAGTTATTTGTCCAAGGATTATGGATATTTTGCTTAATATATAACTGTGTTTCAGGTTCAACCCGGGATGAAGAGAACGAAAATGGTTGCATCGAGATCTCGTCAAGGAGAAAAAGCAAGGCAGCCTGCTATTCCAGAAGTTGAGGAGGAAGATGAGGAAGAAGATGATGAGGGAGAGGGTCCCTGCGGCTCATATTTCAGATTTCGTGGGTCCACCTATTCCCTCTTCAAAATTATAAACTACTGGAAAGAAGATGCTGAATACTATGCAGCCTGCAAGAAAGAAGTCGAGAAGGCAGGATTCGGGGGCCTATTGGAGTTTCGCATGCCGAAGATACCCAATGTCTTCATGGACGACTTGATGGCTGCATATGACTCCTCATCCAGTACTTTTGTTTTTGGGGAAGGAGACTCGAAGAAGGTCTTCGACTTCACAGCTGAGGATGTGGCACGTGTCTACGACCTTCCTCTCGGTGGGTTTGTGATTGATTTGAAGAACGTGGAGGGGGGGATGCTTGACAGCTTCAGCGAGGAAGTTGGAATGATTCCGAACAGGGCTCACATGGTTCCTATCAAGCAGATGCGAGAGTTGGCCATTCCAGTCAACGGTCCTAGACCACCTGTTGCAATTGCTGTCAAGCAATTCTTGCTGCTAGCTACTGGTTCGATGCTCGTGTCGACATTTTCTCGGAGGTGCAAGCTGGACTTCACCCCATACCTAGGCGGGAGTGTTGAGGACGTGAGGGTGTACGATTGGTGTACATTTATTGTCCGTGAACAGAAAGTAGAGTTGACTGTTGCCAAGAGAAAAGAACATAGTGCAAGGGCGTTGGGCTTGCCGTGCGTATGGGTTCTCGGAGATTGCTACTTCTTGATAGTAAGTCCTAACCTTTTCTATACTTGTTGGTTCAATTGCATGAAAACTAGTGAATTTCGTATTTGGGTATGATCTGCTGGATATTTGTTTAGTCACATAAGATACTGTTTGCATGAAAACTAGCTTAAAATGATTTCTGGATATCAGTTTAGTCACATAAGATTCTGTTTGTGTTGACTCTGGATATTTGTTGATTAAATTGCTAGAAATGGAACTTAACATTTATTAATTGTAATTTTTTTTACAGCTCCATCTGTTGGACTCTCTAAAACTAGGCGGGTTGCACACTACGACCATCCCTAGCTGCCGGTTTTGGTGGAAGCAAACTGTCGAGAGGGCAGGCACATCTATCCCCTTAGTCAGGGGAAGATATGACCTAGCTGCCGCTCTGCTGAGTAGGGAAGAAATCGGCTCTCGCAGGCAACTCCAGCCGTCAGCTAGTGCAGCAGCTGCGAGCAGTTCAGCTCCTCCTCCAGATCGTGCACCGTTGCCCACCGCGGAATGGTGGGAGACTGAAGATTTGACTAGCCTTTCGCTAGGGCAGGTAAAATGTTTTCTTCCTCTCTAACTAAGATCGTGCATTGGTAGACTTGGACGATAAAATAACCTAAATATTTCACAACATATGTGTAGCTTAAGGGATTGAAGGAAATCACTGAGAGCATGATTGAAAAGTGGGTGGCTCGAAGGGACAAGGTCCAAACGATTGTCCAGAATTTGGAACAGCAAGAGTGAATATGATGCCATGTTGTACTATTTTCCGTTGTTTGGTGGGGGGTTGTACTGTTTTCCACGAATTTGATGCCATGTTGGAATGGCTTAGGATATTAGTCGGATTTAGTTTGTTGTTCTGGAATATTTGTTGGTTTCATTTGGATATCAGCTTGTGATGTTTGAATAATGGTTTGTGATGTTTGAATAATGTTTGAATATTTGTTGTTCGGCTAAATTACACGTTTGGTCACTCAAATTACATAAATCTTTCATATTTGCCACTCAAATTATTTTTCTTTCTTATTGACCACTAACTTTATGAATCGTTTCACCGTTAGTCACCGACCGTCAGTCTCCGTCAGGCTCTGTTAACTCCGTCAGTTTTTTGATGACATGGCAAACAGAATTGCTGACTGGACCGTTAAATAATGACATGTAAATTTAAAAAAATAAAATAAAATAATTAACCCCATTCTCACTGTCGGAGCCTAAATCCAGGCAATCGAACGGGACCCAACACCGCCACCAACTTCGAAGTTGCCAGTTACCTTGACCGCATCCAGGTACGCCAAGAGAATCGCGGAGCTGGAAAGGAAGAATGAGGCGTTGAATCGAGATTCGTGAGAGAGAAGGAGGTGAGAGAGGCGGATTGAAGGTTATGGAGGATGAGATTTGGGAGATAAGGAAAATGACGACGAAGAGGGAGAGGGGGAGATCTGTGAGGGTATTTTTATGTTGGGCTGGGAAGCGAGTAGGGAGTCGGCGGTGGCCTCCTTAGTTCGTTTAATTTCCTGCTGAGGATGGCTGATGGAAGCTGCAGCGGCAAACAACGCTTGGAGTTCAATTAGAGCGAGGGAGCGAGCAGCTACGGCTGAGATCTGTTTCTCTGATTATTGACGGGATTAACCGCTCCTTCTCCCTCCAATCGAAATCCTCAGGCAAATCGCTGGTCGGGAGGATCGGCGCTATGTTGGCGTTGCTGGGAAGCCTAGGCTCCGTGAGCCCCAAAATTGCCTCGTGAACTCGCGAAGGATAAGATCAGAGAACCGAATGACTCCGATTAACACGATGGGATCGAGAAATTGGTGGGGACCGGCGCCTGGATATTGGGCTTTTTTGGACCCGCCGTCAGGGAAAGGAGTCGTGTGTGTGGGTGATTTATTTTGGCAAGTTCAGTGAAGAGGTGAAACAAGAAGAGCAGCCTCTTTAGTCAATAGAGAGAGATGCAGAACTCTAGTCGCCAGTGAGGAAAAGAACTATGCTGCAGAAGAAATTGGTGAGCCGGGTCTTGAGCGGCTCCGGCCTGAACGGAGGAGGATGGCGGTCGTCGTTCGTCGGACTGCAGATCGTGCGAAGAGGAAGGAGAAGAGAAAGGTTGCGGTGGTTTTAAGGAGAGAATGAGGTGGAAAACTTTTTTATTTTTATTTTTTATTTAAATTGACATATCAGGCCCAGTCAACAATTCTGTTTGCCACGTCATCAAAAATCTGACGGTCTTAACGGAGTTTGACGGAGACTAACGGCCAGTGACTAACGGTGAAACGATTCGTAAAGTTAGTGGTCAATAAGAAAGAAAATTAATTCGAGTGGCAAACGTGAAATATTTATGTAATTTGAGTGACCAAACATGTAATTTAGCCTTTGTTGTTATTTAATGGTTTGTGATGTTTGAATATTAATTTGATGCATTTGGATATTTCTGTGGAATCAATGTTTGTTATTTTTGGATATCAATTCTGCCAACTTGAATATTTGTACGCTCTATTCTGATAATAGTCTGGGTACATGGGATAACTGTACGAGCAGTTTGGATATAGTTTTTAATTCCCGCAAAATATTCGTTTGTCTTCCAGCTCAAGGTACTAGGTGCTGGGATTGACCGGCATATGGGAAAATTGCTGGACTTTGCAACAAAACTGGGACATATGATAGAAAAGAAGGAAGAGCATGACAGGTTCAAGGTCGTGGATTCCAGGAGGAGACCTTTGGAGAATATTGTTGAAGAGGTGCTAGAGCAGTTTAAAACAGATGTGGTGGAAGACCGAGTGGAGAATACTGAAGCTAAAATGGAAATGGATGAGCAGCCTCTAGAGAAGGACCAGGTCGAGCCACAAGTGGAGACAACTGGAGAGAAATGTGAAGAAGATCCTCAAGAGAAGAATCGATTTGAGGTGGTGGAGAATGAAGCTGAGAAGACTGTAGAGACACCGGACGAGGAGTTGTTTGAGCCGACAGTCCCTATGGTGATACACTATACATTCCCAGATACCTCTTTTGAGGACATTTTGCAGATAGCTCATGAGGCTACTAGCGCTGCTAATGTCGAGGAAGTTGACCCACCTACAGATGTGGTGGAGTCGTTCTCTCAACTTGCAGAGATGAGAATGTTGCCTACAGACGAGGAGTTGGTAGAAGCGGCTTGTAGGAGCGCTGAGAGGAGTGCAGATGTGATTATCACCGATGAGAGGAATATGACTGATGAGGAGAGAGACCGTCTGTACAGCTACACACCTGAGGAATGGCTTGCAACACTAAAGACCCCAGAGCTCGAGAGGTTGAAGAAGAACCCATATGCTTCCTCATCAGTATATTATTTGTCGAAGGATGTGTCGCCAAAGCTCGACCCAGTTGCTCGTCTTATGGTTGAGTTCGTCTTCAGTACCCCTGAGGGTAAGGGCTTGGTGGTGCACACTCCTTCAATTAAACTCGCCCGTCTTCATCTGTTGACATTGAAGCGATTAGAGCGGGTCAATCTACAAGTGATTGAGCCTTATGGTCATTTCTTGAACGACAAAGCACTTGCCGGTGACAAGAACAGAGTTATCTTTCCGTTCACTTTTGGTGTAAGTAGGCTCTTCACTGACACCTTACAATTTTTAGATATTCAGTAACTAATTAGCTATTATTTTACTTTGCAAACAGAATCTGGCCTTACTTAATCCTCAGACGAATGTGCCCCCGTCAAAGGAGAGACTCAATGGGGTAATTGAACTGACCGAGCGGTATCAAGTCTTCAAACAAGTTGCATGGGACAAAGTAGAATATGTAAGTGAATCCTTATTCTATCTCGATACTGATTTGCGTGGTTGTGGATACCAGTCTGGGTTTATTGGATATTTATCCGAGAGAATAAATGATTTGTTTGAAGATTTGCCTGAGAATATATGAAATGTTAGTTTTGGATACTAGTCTGGGTTTATTGGATATTTGTCCAAGAGAATAAATGATTTGTTTGAAGATTTGCCTGAGAATATATGAAATGTTAGTTTTGGATACTAGTCTGGGTTTATTGGATATTTTTCCGAGAGAATAAATGATTTGTTTGAAGATTTGCCTGAGAATATATGAAATGTTAGTTTTGGATACTAGTCTGGGTTTATTGGATATTTTTCCGAGAGAATAAATGATTTGTTTGAAGATTTGCCTGAGAATACATGAAATGTTAGTTTTGGATACTAGTATTGGTTTATTGGATATTTATCCGAGAGAATAACTGATTTTTTTCTATGTTTCAGATTTTTTCCCCTGTGCATAACGACAAACACTACCGGGTCTACGCTGCTGATCTAAGGAGTCAGAAGACTTTCCTTCTGGACAGCCAGAAACCCAAGCCAGCAGTGGCCAAGGTGGATCACTCTCCCATGGGGAAATTGATATTTGAGTATGGGGCTGCTTTCCTTGCAAAGCACAACCTCGATTTTCCCTTGCATGATTGGGACTTCTTAATTGCGGATGTTCCTCAACAAGAAGGAAACCATGACTGTGGAGTGTTCGCGTGCATGTTCTTGGAGCACTGGGCGGGTCACATTCCATCGGAATACAAGGAAACTTGGCACTTGGAAAAGCACGTGGAGCACCAGCGAGCATCTATTGCAGCCAGTCTCCTTCAATGGAAATACAACAAAGTAAGGAATGTCGTACTTGAGCATGCAAAGGAGTGGGCAGCATATAAGGAGAAAGGGAAGAGAAAATGAAACTTACCTCCTTATGTTTCATGGGACATATGTTGATGTTTAGGTATTAAGGTGATTGGGTTATTTTGGGAAGTTTTGGAGAAAAGGAGACACTAACTCTATCCTCATCACTCGCTTTATTAGTATAAGCTGAGTGTGTTATTTTGGTAAAATTTGTACAAAAGTAGACACTAACTATGTAGATTAAATTGCTCGCTTTATTAGTTTATCAAAGATGGATTAAGAATATCTTTCCTTCAACAAAAGTATATCATATGACCCAAAGTGATATCCAAAACACCCAAACTAAAATCTGAGCATATTTGATGGAAATACATAAAATCCACACAACCACATACATAAAATATAACAAAAATATCCGAATGTTTAGAGATAATATTTGTAGAACCAAAAGACATATCCCTACATTGCATACTAATATCCACACCCAAATTCAGCAAGGTAGATAAATATCGTAGCCTGCTTAAAAAATATCCGAGTTTGACAGACTAATATCCACCCCCAAATTCAGCAAGGTCGTCTTCCAAGTCAGTGAGATGGTCATCATGTTGAAAATGGTTTTCCTGCGTGAGCACTTCCAATGCTTTCAATCTCTTTCCATAGACAATCTTCTTTCGACGATGCTCTTTCTCATTCGTGGACTTATAACGTTCCTTGCCGTGCTTCCTTGGATTACTCTTCTCTTTGAGAGAGAGGCCAGTTGTTGGTACATAATTCCCTACAATGTTAGTGGCTTAAGTAATCCGTCCAATGATATTAACTTATACTAATTTACAAAAAATATTCGATACACTTACCGTCCTCGCTAGTTATAGTCTTTGACAATGCCTTGTTTGCCTCCTTGCACACTTTCTGCAATGCTCCCATCCACCTGTTGTACACTTTCTCATTCGCCATTGACAATTTTGTTGCGAGCTGATTAAACATTGCAGTGGTTTCTCGGTACCTCATTGCTATATCTCCTTTTCCCGTCTCATTCTCATGACTATGTGAAGTATCGCCTAAAGCATCAGCATCAGCATCACCAACCTCTTTCCTTCTCGCCTCCAACGTCCATCGCTTGAGTATGTAATGATCTGGAATAGTTCTCATACTATCGTTCCCAAACTCTCCAAGAAATCACATCACCTTAAGCATATGCCGACATAAGACCCCGAATGTTCTAAACATCCTACAATCGCATACCAATGTGGCCGTAGAAGTATCGACAAGAATGACACGTTCATCGCTACGCTCATCATCCTCCATCTTATATGTACGGTAGCTAATGAAGCCAACATCCCTATTATCTGGAACAAGCTCAATTAGATAGTCTTCAATTTCCAGATATTGCTCTTGAATCCGGTTGAAGATATTTTTCGTGAAGATCTTGGCAGCATGTTGGAGGATGGAACTTTTCTCCAACACTATGTAAGGGGCTGATTGTTTCCCATCATAGTCGGACTTAGTCTCTTTGCGCCTTTTGTCAGCCAACAAACTGCATGTATGAAGAAAACCAAATTGCCCAGACTAATATCCATTGACAAACAGAGCAAATATCCAAACAACACAAAAATGTATCCCAGCATCACATAAAAATACCATAAAATAATCTACAAATGTCCTTAAGGGGCTAAGTAATATCCATAAATTTCCATCTAGTATTTGGATAACGTACCCGGTAAAGTGAATGAAAAACTCGTCGAGATTATGTTTCGGTTTCAAGAAGAGTTGCACTTGTGAATTGCACGACTCACTGGCTTGCGTTGTCAACATTCCCGCTGTGAATTGATCCCTCAGATATAAGGAACACCATTGATGACGAAATTTCTTCAAATATTGCATCCATTGGTGGCCATCGACAGTTTCACTACCGGGAAAACAATCCGAAACCATGCTGCTCCATGCCTCATCAAACTCGGCCTCGCTGTCGACGTAGTAGAAAAGATAAGCAAGATGATTTTGGAACTTATGCCAAAATTTCTTGCTCTTACGAAGATTCTTCTTCGCATTCATCAAGATGTGCCAAGTACAGAGGGCATGAAACACATCTGGCCACTCCTTTCTAAGGGCAACTGCCATAGCGGCGTCCTGATCTGTGAAGATGGTCACTGGGAGTTTCCTCTTCATGCACCGACTAAATGCTTCAAACAACCATTCAAAAGAAGGAGTTGTCTCGTCATATAACAAACAAGCGCCAAACACACAAGTTTGTCGGTGATGATTGAAACCTACAAACATCCCTGCAAAAGACTTGGTATTAAAAACAATGCATAATCGTTTGCGTTGTCCAAAAAAATAAGGAAAATAAGTGGTCAACATACCCAATGGCCGGAAGTGTTTATTGGTTCGGAAGGTGGTGTCGAAGGAGACAGAGTCTCCGAAAAGTGCATAATCTTCACGCATCCTACTGTCTGCCCAAAAAATATTGGCAACTTTCTCCTCACAATCTACCTCTACAGCATAAAAGAAGCCGGGATACTTCTCCTTTTGGTCTTGAAAGTAGTCAAGCAAGAAAGTCGCTTCGCCACGAGACATAGTCTTTTGTCTATTCTTGTTCAAATGGTTCTTCTGATCACATTTGGTAAAAGTCAAGTTCTCATACCCTCCGGCACACTCAGCCAATAGCTGATACGATGACTTAAGACTCATCCCGGCATTGCGATTTGCTTCAGCAAGACTTTAATAGGTGAGCATGCTTGGTGGGCTGCAAATCATGATTGTGAGCTCCCATGAAATTATGCACCACATATCCATCCCTATTCTCATCCCATCGGAAACGAATAAGGGCGGGGCATTCAGCCCTAATTCGAGACCTCTTTCTTTTAGGGCGACTTCTCTCTACAACGGAATCCTCTCCATGTTTCTGTTTCTCAACATTGACTTCTTCCGTTGACCCTTGCTTATTACAAACATAATAAAGGTAGGCATAAATTTCCACCACCTCTCCTTCAGAATTCTTCCTTTTTCTCAAATGTTGCGAATCTACTCGAACACCAAACCCTTTTTTGTGAGCATAGCGTTCGTAGAAACGAACACACTCTTCCTTAGTGCGAAAAAAGATGTTATTCCTCGCTTCATCATCTTCTAGGTCCGAAGTGTTGTGAGCTGCGAGATATTTCCATTGCCAGTTAGTATCCAATGCGCCCAGAGTAATTCCCAGAATACGTGTAACAAATATCCATAAACAGTAGTATCCATGAATCTTAAAATCGTATCCCATTGCTCCAAATATGTATCCATATTATAATCCGACGTACTAGTATCCACAATATTTAAATGAATATAAAATATGCCCAGACTAGTATCCACACAAATTAAACATGGGCTACAAACTACGTCCAACAAACATTAGGTAACAAGTATCCAACTAGCTCATAGTAGAATCCCAGAAGACCAACAAACATTAAACTCACACCAAAGACATTAAATTTCATTCAATGCTCCCAACCAAAACTCAACAACACAAACTTATAAATATGTCAATCCACAATCACCTTCTTCTTCTTCTTGTACTGTAGTCGTGAAGCCAAACCCACAACCACCATCTATTTGAGTCAAACCTTCTAATACACTATCAATAAATTCTTCTTCTTCATGAGACGAGCTCGTTGATGGACGATCTAACCCGGCCTCATCATGGATCATCATCAGCAATGTTTCCTGGACGCCGGAGGATGAAGAGAAAAGAGGCAGGCCGCCGCCGGCGACTTTTCCGTCGGAGAAAAGAAGAGGAAGTTCAGAGAAAAGAAGATAGAAGAAGGGATTGGAAGAGTTGAGAGAGAAAAAGTGGTTGTGGCATTAATTGCCCTCTCACTTCTATTCTTTCCCCAATCTTTTGAAAAGACCCAAAAGCCCACCCAAAACTGATTTGGGCCCACCCATACTAAGATGTTCACCATAACAAGTATCCACGGCACCACGAATAGTATCTCAACAATCCACACAAATATCCAACACAAGAAATAAATTAATATTATTTAGGTTCACAGAAATATCCAAGAAACCCAAACAAATATCTCCATAATACAAACAAACATCAAGAAATAAATAAAACATATTACAACAAATACTGACAAATATCCACAACAGCCCAACTAATATCAATATTTTGTACCCTAAACCCTAAACACATGAACTAAATGAATATTTCTCAGGTTCAAATAAATATCCACACAACCCGGACAACAATCAAAATATTTTGAATAAATATCAGTATGTTAGAAACAAGTATTACAACTAGGAAAGACAAGTATCCACAACCCACAAACTAATATCTATTATTTGTACCCTAACCCTAAACCCTAAACTTTAAACTCTATCACCCTAACCTCTATACCGTAAACCATAAACCAAACCTAAAACATCAACCCTAAAAAACAAACTATAAACAATAAAAACTATTATTATTTAATGGGCCTTCGGCCTATGGGCCCTCGGCGGGCAGCCCTAACTAAGGTTGCAAGCCTTACGTGTTAGGACTTGATAGTGTGTAGGACTTGCTAGTGTGTTTAATTTGATGTTAGACACAATATTCCAATCTTTCACAAATTGAAAACCAGAACTCTAAACCCTCATTAAACTCGGCCTCGCTGTCGACGTAGTAGAAAAGATAAATAAGATGATTTTTGGAACTTATGCCAAAATATCCACACAACCTGGAAAATAATCAAAATAGTTTGAATGAATATCACTATGTTAGTAAAAAGTATTACAACTAGAAAACACAAGTATCCACAACACAC